GCACAGGGTGATCAAGGGAAGATCAGGACAAGTAATGCACCTCAAAGGAAATGTTTGCCCTCTGACACAGCTCCTCAAATCCTTGAGCATAAATGTTTAACCAATGAATAGGATTCACTCTTCCACCTGATACACAGGTGCCATTAATATCCCTCCTTAAAAGAATAAAGAATATGTTCATCATATACATGTTGTATTTGGGTCTGGTACATTCTTATCAAATATACAGATGGGTAGACCTGTCTACCATCTCAATCTCATGGGCAACTTCTGATTTTGCTTCATGTCTTCCAGATGGTTAAGGGTCAGATTCTGATCCCACCCTAACTAGAAGGATTAAAATATGGCCATAAATGGTACTATTAGAGCACAAGAAGAATAATGGCATATGTATACATAAAAACATCTTTCTTCCTTTAATGACTAATACAAGTATTAGCAGTGAGTTGTTGGGAATTTATTTATTCACTGAAAACAAAAATACTTGCACACCGGGAGCAGTTGCTGACTCATCGCTGAAGGCTGTTTTGGCTGCCAGGTGGCTGGAGGCATATTGTGCTACCACAAAATATGCTTTAGCTTAGAAAGACTAGAAAGTCACAGTCCCCAAGGCAACAGAGGTTACAGAAGGTGTCCCCCACTGGAAAGAGAAATGCAGGCCAATGGAAGTCAAATGCAAATCTTTCCAGCTGTGATTCCTAATGATCAAATAATAATGCATGTGTAAAAGCAGCAGGGAAAAAAACCAAGACAGTAACAGAGAAAAAATGAAAGAGGAGCTTAGTGGCATGATTTCTCATGGTGACACAGAGAGGAGGATGAAGATCTTCCTTGGGGATCTGCACCCTTCTGGCTTGCAAGCCCTTTGACTCTCTTACATTGGACTAAACTCGTTGTACAGGGAGGCATCAAGTATTGCTTCCTCCATCAGGCTTTGTGTTTATGGAGAGAGGATATATAGCAGCGGTCGCAGCAGGAAGGATGCGGGGTGCAGGAGACCCCCAAAGCCCATTTACGGGGTGCCCAGCCCAAGCAAGCTGGATGGCACCGACCCCTGCCGAGGTGCTGGCCCGAGCCGACAACGGCGACGTCCGTTGCCCCAAACCTGCTGTCGGCACAGCTGTGCAGGTGAGCCCTTTCTCAACTTTCTTGTAGTTCAAAAACAAACATGCAGCCACTCACGCCTTCCTCTCCAGAGCAGGCAGGAAGGGGAAGCAGACAGACGCCATGGCAACAGCCAGCTGACGGCAACCTGGGAAGGGCAACCACCGGCCAGTGCGTTCCCAGGCCCCCAGCCTTCCCCTCCTGCACCCCCGGGGGGCACACTGCCTTATTTTCCACAAATACAGTAAATAAGGGTCTTGCATTTCCACAGAGACGCACCTGATAGCACTCTCTACCTGTGGCACGGGGTCCAGGGGGGATTTGCCCCCCTGGCTGTGGGGGGACACCAGTGTGCGGGAAGAGATGCCCAGCCCTTGCCCCTGTGCCCAGAAGACACCCACCCCCTCCCACGGCTGCAGGCGGCAAGCACAGGCATTATTCACTCAGGCTCCGCGTGTGAACTGCCAGAGCCATTTCACAGCTTACCCTGTTTATCACCTAACCTGCACTGGCCGTGGGACGGACTGACCTTTATTTCGCGTCAACTCCCTCACCACCAGAAGGAAGGAGGTGCTCCCAAAACCACTCGGCACATGGGAGACACCCCCCTAGTCCTTAAAGCATACCTCGGGGTTTTGGTTAAAATTACACTTTAAAAAAAGGTTTTTACAGGAAAATATCCCGGCGGAGGGGTGAGGCGGTGCGCAGGCGGGGGGGGGGGGGGGGCGTGCAGGGCCCTGGCCCTGAGGGGAGCCTGGAGGCTGGCGGGCGGGCAGGCAGGTGCAGCGCTGGAGCCTGCGGGCAGAGCGGCCTCTCGTCAGCAGTTCTGATGACTCAGAGGCTAAATTTAGCGAGCGATATAAACACAGCAGCCACAGCGCAAACACTGCCCGGCAGAGCCACTCTCACGCAGGGCCCTCTCGGGCTGCTTCTCCTCGCCGGGGTGGCTGCAGGCCCCCATCGCCAGGGCCGTCGGGCCTTACATCAGGAAAAATCTAATCAGGGTTAGTAGAAGTTGCCTCACTGCTTTTATTTTTAGATCACTGTTCTTTCTGCTGTGGTACAGTCCTCAGAAAGATTCCTTTGCCATTGGCGAGGAGAAACAAACAAACAAACAAAAAAACAACAAAAAAAACCCCAAACAAAACAAAAAAACAACACCCCAAACAGAGACTATAAAAGGCTAGCGGGACATTCCTCCTCAATGGCTTGAAACAAAGGAGGACTCTGCAGTTGGGCACTTACTTTCCTGCTTTTCCATCATAAAATTTAATTGAGTAAAATACAACCATGCACGCTCCTCACCATAAACAATCAGTCCAAACATCTCATCATGCCCCTCAGAGATGGCAATATCTTAATAAGATCAACCAACCTAAGAGGAGGACCGGAGGCAGAACAACTGGGTTCCAATCAGCGATCCCTGCATGATCTCAGACAAGTTATAACCTGCATTTCCTAGTCTCCCACACTCACAAAGAAGTGGGATATTACTGTAATTATTTCTTAATTGAAAAATAATTTCTCAGCTGTCACACTGCTGCAAGCAGAAAGCACGTTACCACTGTTACAGCTGGCACGGTGCTGTGAGAGCCGAGGACATCAGAATAGCCGGTGGAGACTACTGGAGTTGTATAGGAGAAGCAGCAGCAGCACTGAACACTATTTAAATCACACAGAGATACTGCAGGTAACGTTATAAATACTGCAAAACAATTTACTTGTACTGTCCCAAAGAATATTTCATGCTCTTTAATGTGGGCAATCTTGGTATTTTGAGGTTGTGGCCCCATAGCCTTCAGACATGGCAGTCCTGTGTCTGGCAGAGTGAAGGATTCATAGCATGCTGTTGCACAGAGCTTGCACTGCTCTCCTGCCACTGGGCTCCTTTATCCTCTGCCCACTTCCTCTATCAGAGCTAGGCAGGAAGTTTTGCGTTTTAACATTATCCCCTATTTTAAGCAGGAACAAAACCATAATATATTTAAATCTTTTGTCAGCTGAAAGCATAGAGAAGAAGGATAGATTAGGCTGATGCAAAAGTTTTGTGTTTTTTATTAAACTGATATGCAATGGTTGTCTGTGACTGTTGCATCAAGAGTTTGCATAGCCCAGCCTCCAACAGCAGCCTTCTGTGGCTGCCTGAGGAAAAGCAGAGGGCAAGTACATGCAATAGCTCCCCCTAATACTCTTTCAGCATCTAACTAGTTTGAGCTTAGGACTTCCTGAGTCAGACCTGGTTTCTGTTTATTTAATGTCTCCTTCAATGACCATAAACTTGTCCCAATTCACCTTGAACCCAGATAAAGTGCTGGGATGCACAACATACGTTGACAAAGAGTTCCACTGAGCTACCTATTGCATGAAAAACTATCTCATTTACTCTAGGCTGGCTCCTACTAACTTGACTTGATTTTACCTAGTTCTTGTACCAGAAGAAATCAGTCTATCACTCTCCTTCATGTCACTTTTGATTTCTGCTTAGTATTGCTACCACCTTGCTTTGTGTCTTTTTCAGGCTTAGCAGTTCTAGCCTTTTTCTTTCATATGGAAGTTTCATCATCCTTCTTGCCTTTCTCCGAACTTTTTCAGTTCTGCTGCAACATGTTTGGAAGAAGGAAACCAAAACTGCATGTCACATTCAAGATATAGGAGAAACATGGATTTATACAGTGGCATAACTATGTTCTTGTTCTCAGTTTCTTTTCTTAACATACCAAAGAATGTAATTGCAGATCAGATGTGAAAGGGTCCAGCAAGTTTCTGTTAACCTAAATGTCAACTAATCAGCTCCACTGGCAGCAAGATTTCAGAACACGTGGTAGGCAAGGGGCAACAGGTTGCCGTGTCATTTGTATGCATAGGGGAAGGTACATTTCCAAGCCCACTTCTTCCTTGTCATTTGTTAAAATAGAAAACAAAAAAATCTTAACATTACGCAAAAAATCTGTCTCCACTTCCTCATATCAAGTTTCTGACTCCAATCACTGTGAGAATTGCTTTTTCCCCTTTAGCACTCTCCTTTCCTCAAGGAAAGAAACCCCAATTCCGTAGCCCTGCAAAAATTTTGCTTCACATCTCAATCTTCTCAACCTCACACCCGCCCTACCCCCTGCCCTCTAAACCAGGCTCACTCACTTCAGGAGTTCTCCATCTGATACTCTACCTCGCCATGCTTCTGCACCCTCAGCTGGAAATTCAAGTCCCGCACCGCTGGGCAACCCACAGACAGCAGAGCTAGAAGAGAAGACCCACAGCTTTGCACAGCAGCAGCAGGGACCAGCAAGCAGTAGCCAGCAGAGAAGATCCTGAAACCTACTGACTTATCCGGGAAACCAATGAAAGCACTTACCCCAAGCCTCAAAGAGACTGCAGTTACAAGTAAAGTATGGAGCTGCCGGTGCTACAGGCTCAGCTGCAGGACAGTTTGAGAGTCTGCATTACATTATCGAGAAGCTTTTCTGAACATTTTTCCTAAAATGTGAAGTCATCACAAAGGACAGTTTCCTGCAAACAATTCCAGTTTAAAAAAGCAACTGTTAAAAAATTCCCTGAGTGTCCTCAATAAACAATGGAGAAAAGCCTGAAGGAGTTTGGGATACATGATGCACAGGTAGCGCTGTGCGCCCACATTCTCACGCTGATAAGTTTCTGACAAGAGACACAGGCTCCCTGTTGCATAAGCAGAAGTGTCTCAGAGAAGGCCTTGATAACTCTCGTGAGAGACAGAGGGGAAAAAACATGCAAAACGTAACAAGTTTCACTTTCAAAGGAAAACAACATTTCCTCCTGGACATTTTTAGTGTTAATAACTTGAAGCAAACAGGTACATGCCTAGCCATCTATCCACACCCAGTGTGGATGCAGGCATTTGTGGTCCACAGGCTGCTCGAGCCCGTTGCAGTGATGGCAAGACAGTTCCTTGCTGAACCAATTAGGGAATTTAGAGAAACAGAGTTTTCTATAGCTAGATCCATGGAGGCTTTTTGAGCATGGTCAGCATATCTAAATCAACTGCAGGATTCCTGATGTGTTGGAAAGGGGCTTTGTTGTTGTTTGTAATACACTTATTTACTCAAGAAAGCTCAGCTCTGATTCAGCATCTGGTTCTCATTGAGGCTCAGCTTTTTTTAAACTGAGCTTTCCAGATGGGTTGACTGAAGCACAAGGGGGTCAAGAGACTTGTCTGAGGTCATACAGCAAGTCAGTGGCTCTGCTTGGATCCGAGCCCAGAACTGTTCAAGGCTACCACTCCTTGGCTCTTAAAGAGACAATTTTATTCCCTGTGAAGTGATCTTATCACCATGAAGAAGAAATGTGATAAAAGCAGTCCCCTCAAAGCTGCAGCCTGCTTAGAAAGAGTTATTTTATTCAGAAGAAGCCACAGCATTCCAGTGTCTCAATGGAGCAAGTCAAACCAAAGGGGTGTGATACTGATATGCAGTGTCATCCACCCCACTCTTGTATAACCCTGTGCTCCCATGGGGTGGCTTTATGCTGCTGCCACCACCGCCATTCCTGGATGTCTACTCACATCCCACCTAGCAGCATGTCATGTCATGAAATACACTGTCAGTTCAGCACAGGTTGAAGCCCCTTCTCACGGTGAAGAAACTCGAGTGCACTCAGGACCTGGAGCAGAGCCCAAGCACTTGTTGCCACAGCCTGGACACGTGGGGCGCAGGCAGTGCATCCCAGTTGACTGACCAAAAGATCCCCTAAGCTCAGCTCTGTTCTCTATAACCTCCAGGTGCACTCCATAAGCTCAGCCCTAGGCTGGGCTATAGCAAGCAGGTCACAGATCCCATGGCAAAGGCACACTTGCTCCAAAGCAAGGAGGAGATGGCAGGTACTGAGCTCTCCTGCAGAAAGCCTGGCTTGGCTCTACCTTTGTTTTCCAGGGGCAGGGTGAGAAAAGCACAACAGAGGGAACGTTGCCAGACAGGTAAGAGGTACTAAAAAGCTAGAGAAAACACAGATGGGTCTTGCATGTCATTCTGCAGAGCCCTCTGCAAACTGGATCAACCTGTAGCACGTTCTGCTACTTAGGAACGCAGTGTTGCTCAAGTCCTTCCTATAATAAATTCAGTATCTTAAGGAAATGAAAGACGCAGAGTGCTAGGGTATGTTGTGTTATTGCTCTAGCACTGTTCTAAGGATGAAAAAGCCAGGTTTTAAACTACTGTATTCTGTTTAATATATTAATAGGAAATGAAACCCTGAAAATGGTGTACGTGCCAAAAGCAAGCATAGGTGCGGCCAACTTTCTTATTCTTACAAGATGCATACCCAAAAATCTTTTGTATAGCCAAGAACCACAGAATAAATACCACATAGCTCCGGGAGCCCAGAGAAGAGATAACAGTGACTCTCCAGGGTTCCCACTGTGGGATGAGGTTAGACCGTGCGTGCAGCTGAGTCCAATGACAACTCAGTGACGTCAACCTCAGCAGCTATTGCCTGCTCAGTTCCTCTCTCAGCCAGGGATGTACATTAACCAGTGGCACCAGCGGCCTTTGGGTCAACACAACCTTGCTGCTGCAGCAGCTGAGTGGGAGCCATACCTGAACTGCTGGAGAGTCTCGCAGAACTCAAGAGCCATGAAAGGGCAACTCTTGAGCTAGTTGGATACAGGCCTCCAATGCTGAAAGCCTTTCCTAACTCCCACTGAAAGTGCACATACATTTTCTTTTCACAGGTTCACAGATAAGATGTTTTGTACGCTCTGAAAAGAGGCATAGCTTGTTGAAAACGAGGCTTGCTCGCTCTCTCCAGACTTCACAAGACCACACTGGTGTGACTAACTTTGTGGTATTCTAAATCTGATTCAAGACACCACTCTGGAAAGTTGGTTTTGACCAAATGTTTGAGACAAGCTGGAATGGGGCATCCAAATCAGGGATTAGTTTCACAGCAAGATAAACGACAGCCCAGTTTCCATGCCTCAGAGACTGGCCCTTCCAAACCACAACAGTGATTGCAAACCAGTTCCCGTGTCTCCAGGGGCAGACTGCTTGCTTCTTCAGCAACAGGCTGGGAAGAGTCATTGCACACAGGACGGAGGGGCTTCTGCGTAGATCTGTGCCAGAAGCCAAAGGAAATCCTCCATGCAGTGCTGGGAGGGAAGGGATTGGGCATGACAACAAAACACTCCATGGGGAACGGTGCCTCGGACACTAGTATGTGGCTCAGTACTCAGTTTTCCTGACAAACAAGGAAGCCTCCCTTCACAGATCCAAATGCCAAGGCCTATCCCAGGGTCAGGCTGTGGAGAACCACTGGCTGAACTACTCCGTCCTCGGGTTAAGTTTTCGGGTTGTTTTGTTTTTGTTTTTTTTTTTTTTTGTTGTTGTTGTTTTGTTTTGTTTGGTTTTTTTTTTTTCCCCTATTTTGTTTTCAAATGTAAATGGCTGAACGGCTCCCCCCTCCCCTTTACAACTTGTTGCTCTTCCAGTTCAAACAAAGACAGCGGAGCTCCTCCTCCGCTTGCTCGGCCGCGGGGCAGCGCAGCCGCCCGCCTTTGTTTACCGGCTCTCCCGCAGGCGGGGCGGGCGGCGGGGCGGCCCCGGGCCCGGGCAGCGCCGAGCCGGGCCCGGACACCGACACGGACACGGACACGGAGCCAAGCCCAGGCCCAGGGCGGGTTTGGCGGGGCCGGCTCCGGCGGGCATTCCTGGATGCGTTTCCAAGGCACAGACATCAGATAGGTACGCTTCTCTCCCCTTCCCCCCCCCCCCCCCCCCCCCCCCCCCAATTCCCCGAGAAGAACGGGGTCAAGTTACAACCAGTTCCACCACTTCACTCCGGGGCTCCTCCACCGAGCCGGTTAACCTTCCCTTTCCTGTGAGGCTCTGGCTAGAGAGAGCCGGGTCTTCTGCTGTCGCTGGCGACGAGGTAACACCGGGGAAAACCCCTTTCAACCATACACAGCACATTCAAAATCTCGTGATAGCTTGTTATTCCTGCAATTTGCTAAATGACATTCATAGCCCCATCTACATTTCTACAGGCTAATCTTCCTGTTACAGCTTCTTTAGTCCTTATGCTATTCGGAGATGAAGAGTCACAGCATTCCCTCATCTCTGACGACACCGAGAGGACCAAACCTTTGCCTAGCCACAAGCCACATTCTCTGAGCAGGACAAAGATCCTCACTTACCTTCGGGAAGAATTGCAACAGATCCTACAGTTAACAGAGCACCAGCTCACTTGGAAGTGAGATAAGCTTTCTGTCTCTCTCTGAAGTCAGCAAGTGTCAGCTTCTACCAATGCAAGTGGATACACACTTTCCTTGCTGGGCTTGCATAGAAGTGGCAAAGTGCTGCCTACTGCCAAACCTCTGCTGCCTCTGACAAACTCTGCCTGGGCTGGGATTTCCATTTCATCTCTACTCAACAGGGGAAGGAGGGCAAGGAAGAAAGAATCAGGGGTCTTATTGGTGCTGGTTTTATTTTGTTTCTTTGAAGAGCAGGGTTTCCTTTTTTTTTTTTTTTTTTGAAAAAAGAAAAAAAAAAAAAGAAAACAAAATCAAGATTCTGTATTGTGGTTTTCAGACCTGATGGCATCTCACAGCTGCCTTTTGTTGTGAGAAAGTTAAGTCACAAGTCTGAGACACTAGCTAGGACTGTCTGACAGAGTAGTTGCTAGCAAGTCAAGCGTGATCTAAATATATTCTACAACATTTCAGAGAACTACTACCCCTAGACAACAGAGTGTCAGAACAGACTCCAGGCTTGTTGTTGTCTCAAAGGTGAGGAGCTGATAGAAGCCACAGATGGCCACCTGGGCCACAAAAGAGAAGACACAGGTGGTAAGGAGAGTGGAGAAGGGGAGTAAAAGCTGTAATAAAGAACAATGAGGAGATCCTTGGGGAAATCCTTAGTGACCCCATTGCTGATGAACTGGAAGAGCTGGACTAGCAGCAGCTAATGCAGAACAGCTACCTTCCCAGGCAGTAAATGTAATCCCAACACATTCTCTTCCCTCCACCTGCCAATCTTTAGGAAGAGCCAACAATCTAGTGTAAGCAAAATCCACCAGGATACTCCCGCCATTTTATCGCTGCTGGCAGCCTGCCGCCTTGGACAAGAGCCCGCTTAGCTGATGCCTGGAGCCAGTCTTCTAGAGCACCGCTCTTAGATAGCTAAGCCCGCACCTTCCCCTCCAGAGACGCCCTACCCTCTGTATGTGGAGCCGGTGGAACTGGTCGGCAATGCACTGCAACTTCCGTGCAATCTGCACCTCGGCACGTGCTTCCCGCTGACCTTCCTGAGGCTCCTCTTGGAGGTGCGGATCCAACGCAAAGCCAACTGGAGGGACGTGTAAACGGTAACCAGCATTGCCTGCAAAACAGAGATCAGAAGAGTCATTCTTCCAGTGCAAAGAATAGCTCTCCTACTCCGTACACTTTACGGAGGAAGATGCTGCATGTAATCCTAAATTTTTGACTCATGTTAAAGCCCAGTTCTTGAAGCCCAGCAAGAACCTTGTGCCATAAGCATGCAGTAAAGCAGTTGCTCAGCTTTTAAGTGGATTTATATCGATTAAGCAGAGCATTGTGCTGCTTCCCATAATCAAATGACTGGCAGGATCTTACACTTGGTTCATTTTGCTTGGTTATAGTTCAGCCAAGTGTTGATTTTTTTTTTTTTTAAGTTATAATTTTGCAGTTTTACGAGATCTCTGCCTCAAGTTGTCTCCCATTAAAGGTTGCTGTGTCTTTTCTGTCAGACAGTTCTCAGTTCTCCGGCATTTAGTGGGATTGATTTGAATTAAAGCTGAGCCAGATACACAAAGCTGAGTGGTGTCCCATCAGTTATTATTAGAATACTGGATGGACATGCTACTTATTCAACAACTTTAACTCCAGTAAAGAGCCTAAAAGCTGTCCCACTAAGTATGTTTTTGCATTTCCCTTTCTCCACTGAAAACTTCTAGGAGTTTTCATATGTGGAAGAGACAGCACTAGAAGTTTAAAAATGTAGGCAAATCATAGGATACAAGGTATGGTGAACACTTAAACATCTAGCAGTAAAATAACCTGACAGAATAAAGCCAAAAAGAAAAAGAGTGGCAGTATCAAGGCCAGTTGAAGCAATGAGCAAGTGCTTGGCTCCTACAGTGGACGAGCATGGGTAAGAAAATTCAAGCTGTCTTTCCTGAGGGAGTAGGACCAAAGCAAAATAATTTCAGTCCTTCAATAAAACACCCTAATGAAAGCAACCTTGCTTGATTGGGGAAGTGCTAAAGGGACAGTTTCCTTGCTGCAAAGCTGGTGACACTGGAGTGCTCTTACCATAGAAGAGTCTCCGGGGCTCTTCAGTGACTCCACAAGGCAACATAACATCCTGACTGGAAGAGGACGGGCTGAGTGTTTGAGTTGCCTTGTCCTGCTGCTCAGGATGCCTGATACCGGGACCACAGCAGTGTGTGAGGGGGAATAGTTGAAACCTCCCCAGAAGGCAGCTGTAGGACTGGTTCTGTGTGAAAATGCCAGTTGCAGTCATCTCACCAGGCTGACCTGCAAGTCCAAAGTCATCAGAGTGAAACACGTCATCGTCCAGCCCATCCAGGCTAGAATAGTCCTCTTCCAGGTAGCTGGGGCGATCCATTGCTCCTGCAATAAAGGGACATTTGAGGAAACAGCTAAGACACAACAAGAACATTGTCCAGGAGAGAATGCTTTCTGCTCCAACACAGTTAAAGACAGTTCTTTCTTCCATGCCTGCCTGCCTCCCTCCTAGTGCTGCCCATCTGCGCAGGCAGCAGAAGCGAGTGACTCGGTAGTGAAGGTCAGGGCTTTGTGGAAGGTTCTAGAGTACTGGGTCAGAGAGAGACAAAGTTCACACATGTCTAAGAGTCCACCCATGGCTCCAATTCCACAACTGGTCACAAAGAGACCATCAACCCCCCAACCTCAGCACATAGAAACTGAAAAGACGTTGTTTTAAAAAGCAACCCCAATCCTTCAAATTGCCCTGTGCCAGTCAGCTTCTTTGGGGTCTGCTTCGCTTTGACTTGCTGTATTTGAACTTTATGGTGTTTCCCCATTCACTTTTTCCCATCTATTACTTACTGATGAAGAAAAGCTTTTATAACCACAAGGCTGCAAGGCCAGATTTTTAAGAAACCCCAATGGTTGCAAAACTCAAGAGCTGGCAAAGCCATTTCTATGAAGTTCTCCACAACTTTTCCCTATAAGGGCCAACTTTCCTTTCCACTTCTCCCTTCTTCCCTCAGCTCAACTTAAGACATGTCCCAAACTTGACAATGCAGTCACTCCATTACCCCTCTTACCCTCAATCCTACATGCACTGTCAGTGCATTAGTTCACCCTTCTACTAAATAAAAAACATTGCTGGCGTCAGTGCTTGAAGCAGGACTTCTGCAGCTGCCACAGGAAACACTCCTGAGCTCTGCTGCATCACAAAGTTGGACAAAGGTGATGAGAATAAAAAAATCCAGTAAACCCTAAATCACTATTTCAGAGCTCTTTGCAAACACATAGTAATTAGAAGCAGATTTACCAAGAAAGACACAAGTCCCTTTACTGTTACCTGTGCATCTAACCCAATTGGAAGACAGTCTCCTAAGAGATCCATCTCTAGGATTTCCACCCAGTTCCAAACAAGGCAGTGAAATTCAACTCTTCATGTCTCTTCCTTTGCTCTGGTTTGCGAAGCATTTAACAGAACGGAAGACTAGCAAGAGGAATTTCAGGCCTGAAGGAGACATTAATAATAATTTTGTAAGGATATGTTCAGCACTCCCCTTGGTGGTCCCATCTCCCCCCAGGTGAGCAGCACTCACAACCCCAGCGCACTAGAGGAGACAAAGGGAAGGAGCAGTGCAAGAGCTATTTGTGCAGGGCTCTAACTCGGGGGCATTATGGTTATTTAAGTTGTTGCACCTCAGCGGTTCGCTCAGCCCAGCCACAACTCCCAAAGAAGAGTTTGCAGAGCAGTACAGGTACCAGCCCACGGCTGGGCCAGCTCCACGAGGTGACAGCAGTGCTAGTGTGGCATAGCACTGGTGACATCCTCCTCCGTGGCTTACGGTGGCACACTGGAAGGAGTTACAGGTCACCGAAAGGAGTTAAGGTCCCGAGACGCCAGCGTAGATGATGTCCTGCCAGCCCTGCTGCTGGATCGCCATCACCTGACAGAAAGGCAGGGCGATAACCTATTTTGGTTTTGCAGCAAGATCTGCCAGATCTCCCCCGTCAGAGCCCCGCTGGCACACGGGCATTCAGCGCAAGAACGCGCAGCAAAGGCACAAAGCCAGCCGGCAGTCCAAACCCTCCGCAGCAAGAAGTTTCGCTCGACCTCCCGCAATACGGTCCGACCTCTTTGCAGAGCTCATCGGAAGCGCCGAGGAGGGCACGCCGAAGCAGCGTGAAGGGTAACTCAACCTACAACTCACTGAGGTTCCTCCCACCGCCTCCAGACTCGCTGGTGCCGGGAGCCGCCGAGCCTCGCCCGGGAGCGACACCGGCCCGCCCGGGCTCCGGCCGCGGGGTCCCCGCGGCTCGCGCGGGTCCCCAGCGCCGTGTCCGACCCACGGCGCTCCCACGGGAGAGCCGCCAGCCCCCCGAGCCGAGGCGGCCTCCCGCCCTGACAGGCGGAGGGCCGGCGCCGGAGGGAGGGCTCAGCACACACGTGCGTGCCAGCTTCCCAAAACAAAGCTGGCCGGCCTCGCCTCGGCACCGCCAGCTGCTTTTAACTCCTCCCCTCCCGGGCTCCAGCCCCGCAGATTTATCTCCTGCCCGGAGGTTTAAACGCGGCTCCTCCGGGCAGCGCCGGGGGACGAGACGCCCGAGCCCGGCAGGGCAGCGCTGGCTACCGGTAACTAGCCCTTGCCCGCACCAGAGGATCGCTGCCTTCTCGGTGCCCACACCGGGCTCGTTCGCGGCCCGCCCTCTCCCCCCCACCCCGACTCCGCGGGACCCCGGGCGGGAGCCGCTTGGCACCGCCCGCCGGGCCGAGGCTGCCCCGGAGAAAACCCCTTTCCCCGTCACGGTCGACGCCCGGCCTCGGCGCCGCGCTGCCCGAAGACCTGGCTCAGAGAAGGCGCCGTCCGCCGGTGGCGAAAAGGCTTCCCGGGCACTCACCGAGAAGCGGGACGATCGTCCCGCGGGGCCGGGGCGTCCCGGGCGCCGCCGCCGCCGCCTCAGCGCCACACTGCCGCCGCCGCCGCCGGGCGCCCCGCGAACAGCTGACGGCGGCCCCGCCCCCGCCGCGCCCCGCCCCCGCCCGCCGGCCAATGGGCGGGGGAGGGGCGGGGAGCGGCGCGCGGGACAGCCGCCGCGCGGGAGGGGCGCGCGGCCCGGCTGAGGGCGGCGGGCTCCCCTCGCCTCAGCGGCCCCAACCCGGCCCCGCCCGGTGCCACCCCCCTGGGTGTCACCCCCTGGGTGTCACCCCCCTGGGTGTCACCCCCACGGCTCCCCCCGAGTGCTGTGGGGGAACCCTCGGGTAGTCGCTTCGGTGCTCTCCTC